AAGGGCTGCGCGAGTACTTCGGCCAGTTCGGGGAGGTGAAGGAGTGTCTGGTGATGCGGGACCCCCTGACCAAGAGATCCAGGTGAGCCCCTCACCCCCTCCTCCTGCTCCCGGCTCGCCCCCCTCCACCCGACACTCACTGCCTTGTAACCATCTGCCTCTCCCTCACTACTGCGCGCAGGGGTTTCGGCTTCGTCACTTTCATGGACCAGGCGGGGGTGGATAAAGTGCTGGCGCAGTCGCGGCACGAGCTCGACTCCAAAACAGTGAGTGGCCCTCCGGGCCTCGGGGGTCCTTTGGGAGAGGGAGGCTGCCGGAGGAGAGGGTCAGGACTCTCTGCAGGGGACAGTTGAAAGAAGGGAGTTTTCTGAGTAAGAGGGCTAAAACTTTGTCACTAGAGTTGGGGGCGAGGGGAGGAGAAAAATCCTCATCCCTCTATGAGATGATGCTGCATCCCCCTCCCCTAGTATTGGTGAGGAGGAAGCCGCCACCGTCCTCTCGCTGGAAGTGCTATTCATGATGCCTGCGAGCAGAGCTTGGGGTGGGGCTAGGTCCCTCCCTAGCCCAAATTGGGTGAGTCAGGGTAGCTGTGACCCACCCGGTGGCTTCTCTGAACTCCAACTAGTATTTGGCTCTGCGATACCCGCCCCCCCTTCATTCCAGACCAATGGCAAAGCATCACCGAATCCCCCTCCCTCCCTTTTTGCCTCCTCCCCCGACTTTTGGTCAATGAGCTCCTTGCTTTGTGTGGAAGACACGGACCTGCTTTGCCCATGAAGGGGATTTATGAGAAGGGCGCTAGCTTGCCTGGAAACAACCCTTCTGAAGAGTAGATCTCAGGAGAAGCTGCTTGTTTGGCATTCAAACTCCTGGAACATTTTGCTGCTATCCCACTGCTCCCCAGTGTCTTGGACACTGCAGGGGGTGCTGGCCCAGGCCTGGCTCCTCCGGGGAAGAAGGGGAAGGAGAAAGTCAGAGGAGGGGTTACTTTGTGATGAAGGTGTCTGCCTGCCAGGGGCTGGGGACAGTGTGATCTCCTCTCTTCACACTCCTCCGCTCTTCCCCAGCCGGGCCTCTCTGCTTGGGTCAGTCACTGGCTCCTGTTTACCTGCAACAATAGCTGGTTGTGCCCAAGAATTTGTTAAATTACCGCCTGTCCCCAGCTCCTGTTATCTCTGCCCAGTGGCTCCCACTCCCGCTCACGGTAATGAGCAAATGAGGCCAGGCCTCAACTTTGCCGGCTCTGAAAGGATCTTCTTGGCGCAGCCTGAGTGACCCAAGCTGGAAATGGAGAGACAGTGGCCTATTGTTTTTGGTGATTATCTGCCATAAGCTGCCTGTTCTCCTACCATCCCCTGTCCTCAGAATGCACTGATGGCTTCTGCAGTGCTCAGGAGGCTGAGATTTAGGGGCTGGAGCTGGGGGGTGGAGGAATGGAAGATTGATAAGGGGAAGAGAAAGAGAGAGGGAGGAGGGTGAGATGGGTATCCTTAGGCGATGGGGACTGCAGAGGGCTTTGTCTGTGGCGTCCTCCGGCCTGGGAAAGGGGGTGGGAGGGAGGTTTACTGTGGGGAGTCTATTTTGGGTTCTGACTTTCACCTTTTATTTACTTGTTGGGTTTTATTTATGTTGCCAGCTGTGAGTCAGAGTGGAAGTGGGGTGTGTCAGGGACTGGGTGTGTGCGTGGATCTGTGGCAATGTGGCTTGGGTACTGTCTCCCCATCAGGGGCGGGGGGGGGGGGACTGTTTGTGGTGTGCTGGTGGCTGGGGAGGCTGCTTCTGGGAGAAACAGGAGGATGAAAGTGTCCAGATGGGAAAAATGGGCAGCTGTGATTTTCCCTGGAGCCCAGTGGGACTTTGCAGGAGAGGAGGCGCTGCCCTAGCATGAATTTTGGAGGTTCCATCTATGTGGATGGATTCCCGTGAGGGAGCCTATAGGAGGCTGGTTCCTGCCCCGTGCCATTCAGTCAGAGAGAAACCAGAGCCAGTTACCTAGAACGAGGCTGAGTTTTAAACAGAAGGAACTTTGGGAAAAAATAGATTTTCCCTGTGATTGGCTGGTGAACTTATGAATGATGTCCACCCATGTGGGTGGCAAGAAACTGGCATGACCTGGCCTCATAGGCCCTGCATTGATCACAGTGTCTCATGCCCTGTCTTTTGCTGTTTGTCAGTATGGCTGTAGTCCCCAGGAGTCCCCAGGTGGATCTTGATTTTTCCCTCTGGCTGTTCACAGCCAGGGGCAAAGGTGGCCTGCTGGTAATAGCACCTTTGTTTGTGCAGTGAAGGGCAGTTCACAAAGGGCCGCTTTCACCCACGTTATCTCATTGGATTCCCCTTGGATTCTCCACAGCTGCTCCTGGGGAAAGTGGGTGTGATTGTCCCCACTTTGCAGATGAGAGAACTGAGGCTCAGAGGGTTCAGACTTGTTACCAAGATCACAGGCTTAGCAAGAGGCCCAAAGTTTCTGAGTTCAAATCCCATACCCTTTCACGTCACCTAAGTCTGTACTCTGCTGCAATCTGCTTCGCCCTGAACCAGCTGCATTATCAGGAAGCTATTTGCTCACAGCCTCAAGGAGGGCTGTTGAATGCTGATAGGATTGGGAAAACAGAACTGAGTCTACTCCTGGTGGTTATGAACTCTTACCTTGTAACCTTTTGCAGGCAAAGAGTATTTTCATTTTCGAGGCTTCTAAAGCCCGGATTGCATTCCTTACCTAAGCAGGTATTTGTGTGAAGTCAGTTACACAAGGAAGGCCCTCGATTTACCTGATAGTGGAAAGAATGAGGACTTGGATGATGATGATGGTTATTATTATTATTATTATTATTATTATTTTGGTTCTTGCTGTGAGCTAGACACCATGCCAAGTGCTTGACATGCATTATCTCTAAAATCTGCAAGTGACCCTTTGAGGCAGGTGTTATTATTTGCCCATTTTACAGGTGACTTTGACCCCAAGGTTCAGAGAGATGAAATAACTTGTCCATGGTCTCACAGTTGGGACGCATTGTAAATGGGATTTGAGCCCAGCAGCTTGACTTTGGGCCTAAATGCTTAACCTGTATGCTTTCCTGCCGGAGGCTATCGGAGTTTCTGTTACCTTTGTGTCCTGGGACAAGAGAGGTTCTCAAGGCTGAAGGCTTTGTGGTCATCCATTTGAAGTATGATAACCAAGTTCTCTTCTGTTTCTCTCTTCTCTTTTAGATTGACCCCAAGGTGGCCTTTCCTCGGCGAGCACAGCCTAAGGTAGGTGTGTCTGTCTGGGAGAAGGTCTGTGACCACGAGCAACTCTGGGTGGTGATTTTCCCAGCATTCTCTGCTTTGGAAGATGCTTCTGGAACCTCTGTTTGGAGTGTTTCTGGAATGGGTGGGAGGAGGGGATTATTGATGTCCTTGCTCTGTGTCATGAAGACACTGCATATCTTTCCACCTGAGTTCTGGAGTGGACTGGAGAGGGGCTTGCATGTGGTAGGAGAAGGGGAAGCCACTCGGGGGACTCATTGCTCTGTATTTGAAGCCAGTAAAATTTGGAGCCTGAGTCTAATTCCGACCTCATAGATTACAGCCTCTGTTCCCAGGGCTTCTGGGGGTCAAACACAGGACAGGCTTAGTCCCTGAGGCTGAGCTAAAGTTGGGGTAGGAAACTACCTTAGACCCACTCCCAGTCACCCTTGGCAGAGGGGGAGGAGGCTACAGAGTCTGTCACCTGTTGTCATTCAGCTTATGTGTCTGTGGCCGCTCTCTCAAATACTCTCTTATCCCAGTGCTCTGGCAAGTTCTCTGGGGAAAAGGGTAGGGTGTGCAGAAAATGGATTTCTGAGCAGTTGATTGGTATAGCACTCAAAACTTTTGGTGCAGGGGCCTAAAATTTTATTCCAGGCTGCAGATCTTAATTTTTAAGGGATACAATCTAGAAGACAAGAGGAAAGACTGACTACAGAACAGGAGTCGGAAACCCTGGGTTTGCTGACTTATCACATGTCCTAGGATGAGGTCCCTCTCTGGGAGATCTCAGTTTCCCCTTTTGCAAGGGGACTGATGGGAACTAGAGTGCTTTCAGATTCTGAGCCCCTGAATTCCACCATGGCCCAGCTCCTGCCAGGGTGAAGGGAGAGGAACAGTTTTAGGAGACAGGAAAGGGGCATCTCTGGAAGGGGTCCAGCAGAGGGCCTGAAAGCAATTATGGAGCAGGTATTCTAAGGAAGCCGCACCAGGGAGCACATGGTCGGAATTGGGTTAATTCCATTAAGCAGTTTGGTGACAGAAGGTGCTTTAGTGTTAGGATGGGGCTGGGAATTGCTGCGGATTAGCCATGCGCTCCTGGGGTAATTAGGACCATGTGTTCTTCCTAAAACAGGGCTGGGGCCACTGGGCTGCCAGAGGTTGGATTGGGAGGAGGTTGATGAGGAAAATGTCGACATTGAGTTCAGGGAGGCCCTGCAATGGGCCTTGGTGTCTCCCAGGATGGCTGGTGGGGTCTTCAAGTCAGGCTTGGGTCTGGGTACCTGGCCCACCCCCTTCTCTGTATTGAGTGCCTCAGGGAAGGCATTTTCTGGACACAGTCCCCAGAAAGGGAGGCAGGAGGTAGGCACACAAGAGCCAGCCAGGATGTGGGATGCACAGCTGCCCATGACAGGCCTAGAGGCGAGGGTCCAAGAGGGAGCTTGGGGGGGCCTTCGAAAAGGCTGGGGCCACAGAGAGCTTGTCAGCTGGCATCCTGGCAGGGGGGCCGAGCCCCTGCTGGTGGCGGTAGGCCACAGAACTCAGATGCCCACTTTCTCATTCCCTCCCCTAACAGATGGTGACTCGAACGAAGAAGATCTTTGTGGGGGGGCTGTCGGTGAACACCACAGTGGAGGACGTGAAGCAATATTTTGAGCAGTTTGGGAAGGTGGGTCTAAACTGAGGGTGCTTGCTGGGACTGTGAACGCACCGTAGAATGGATCAGTAGCAGGCGGGGTCCAGCCAGGTCATTCCGATTCCTGAAAAAGATTACAGTGGGGCTGGGTCCTTCTAGGGGGGAGGCCAGGCCAGTCCACCTTTCGGGCTCCTGGCTCATCTATGAGCTTCAGATCCAACATCCCAAGGGAGAGGGAAGCCACACAGTAGCTGTGCCTGTTATTGTCCTTCCGCTGTATTTTTCTCCTGCTTATCTTCACTCTCCCGAGGGAAGCTACGCTCCATAGCCAGTTCAATCCAGTCACCCCTTGGCCTCCCGGGAGTTTGCACCTGTCCAGACCTTGGGCGGTTGCACCTCCCCCCACCCCTTCCTGGTGGGGATGATAAGGAGGCAATAAATATGACTCCCAATTGCACCCGGCACCCTAGTTGCACAGGTGGGGAGCTTGAAGAGGCACTGGGAAGCTGTGGATCCCCCAGGTCCTGGGGGGGAGCTGAAGAGAGCACTCCCGATTTTTATCAGGCCTAGCGGATTGGCTCTAAACTCTGAGGTGCATGGAGCTTTCATTTCTGGGCCTCTGGAGAGGTAGCTATGAAGAAGTAGGTGTGGCCGCATCAGACAATAGGGTGCCCTCAGAAAGGTGAGCAGTGTGAACTTCAAGGTCCCACGGGGAGATAGCACAGAGGGGCCCGAGTTTGAAGCCTGGGGGTGCAAGAGGGTTGCTCTTTCTTATCTCAGGTGAGGTAGGCTGGGGGCTGGGTCTCTCGTTTCCCATCAAGGCATCTGGAGCCCCCCGACAGGCAAAGGGGGACGTGGCGGAGGGAAACGGGCTGTGAGCTGGG